ATCGTGTTAGGCACCAGATGATGGAAATGGTTTGGGGAGAAAACAAATGAGTGTAACACATAGCCCTTGCTCTAAAGTTAACAAAAAAGTTGAATGCCTATTGTGTGCTAGGCAATGGGAATTCAATGGAGCGTAAGACATGTTCATGTTAACAAAAGTCATTAAACACTCAGACATGGCTGTGGCAGCAGGCTTATCAGTTTTCCAATTCTTGCCTATTCTGTAATATTCTTTGGACTCGGGCAGACATGGCTCTAGCAGCATGCTTGTCCGCTTCCCACTTCTGCCCTTTTGAATATATGCCGAATAAAACTTTCTTTTTGCTTAAAAAAAAAAAAATCATTAAACACAAAAAATAGTTAAGATGGATCTTAGATCTGAAAGGCTGCTAGAAGAAAACACAGAATTTCTTCATGACCTTAAAGCAGGCAAAGATTTCTTAAATAGAACACAGAAATACACTAACCATGAAAGAAATAAATAATTGGGCCTCATTAAAATTAAAAGCTTCTGCTCTTCAAAAGACACCATTAAGAAAAGGGCAGAAGATATTCTCAATACACACATCTGACAAAGGATTTGTAACCAAATAGCATGCCTGTAATGCAACACCTTGAATTTTCCATCTTAAGCATGATCTCATTATTTCCCATTATGGAAGATGGGAATTTAACTCTTTTTAAGCCCCCTGCCCCCTACATATGCATGCCTTTCCTGTTCCCCCTTCTTCCTAATAAAGGCCATAATTTAGTGAAATCAAAATTTAGTATTTTATTATTATGACTATGCAAATACCATTCCTAACTGAACCATATAGTAAACTATAATTACTTTTATTTTTCTGCACAACCTTTAGATTTTCCTGGAGTTAATAATTTTTTTTCACTTGCTTAGTTTTCTATGAACTTATTCCAAATCCAACTGCAAACTCTTCACGTATCATGGAATTACTACTCAGCAATAAAAAGAATGAACTATTGATACGCACAACAATCTGGATGAATCTACAGAGAATTATGTGGAGTGAAATGTCAGTTCCCAAAGGTTGCGTACTGTGTGATCCTGTTTATATAACACTCTTGAAATGACAGTTTATAGAAATGGAGAATAGATTAGTGGTTTCCAGGAGTTAAAGAGGGGGTAGTAGGGGGTTGGGATATGGGTGTGGTTATAAAAGGGCAACATGAGGGATTCCCGTGGTGATTGAACTGTTCTGTGTCTTGACTCTACCAATGTCAATATCCTGGCTGTGATACTGTACTATAGTTTGCCCCAGGATGGAACACACTCGGAGTCTCACTCATACTTGACTTAGATGATTGACAAGATATTTTGGACTTAAAGTTGATGCTGGAATGAGTTAAGATTTCTGTGGATGATGTGATAGGGTGAATGTATTATGCAGGTGGGAAGAACATGAATTTAGGGGGCCAAAGGGCAGAATGTTATACATTGAATTGTGTTCCTTCTAAATACATGCTGAAATCCTAACCCCTGTATCTGTAAATATGACCCTGCTTGAAAATAGGGGTTTTCATTGGTATGTTAATTGGGCAATACCCGAGGTTAGGCTGGGTCTTAAACCTATTAACTTCTGAGTTATAAAAAGAGCAGATTAGACACAGAGACACACAAAGGAGGAAGACAGACAACATGTTAGGTCTACAAGCAAAGGAACGGTAAGAAATGCCAAGAATCGCTGGGAGACACCAGGAACTAGGAAAGAGGCTCACAGAAGGAATTGACCTGGCCAAGACCCTGATTAGACTTTCAGCCTCCAGAACTCTGAGAAAATAAATTTGTTCTTTCAAGTCACCCACTTGTGGTATTGCTGTTATGACAGCACTAGGTAATTAAGACACTCACCTAGGCACAGGCAGACCTATACAACCACAGGCTTCTGCCTTGTTTTTTCTTCCAACTTTCCCAGGAAGGTGTTTGAGAAGTCTGGAGCTGTGTCTCACTCAGTTTCTCCCCATGGCAAAGGGGATTGGAGAGAGCACACCCATCAACTAACTAGTTCTTCTTAGAAGAAATAACCATCATTTCTAATGACCTGTTTCAGAGAGGCAGTGGAATGTTTGAACCTAGTTGAATTCATGTAGCCAATCCAGGCTAACTTTCTCTCCTTAGTAATAGGCCACGTGTATTTTCATTCCAGTGTCGAGTAATAAAAGTTTTCTGCCTTTTTAAGGTGAATAGCTCATTTTGACCATTAAATTCAGGCTGCCACTTTTGGAAATGGAAAATTCCCTTGCTAAGGAAAAAGTCCTTCATTGCTGGAAAGGGATATAATGGTTGGCTAGCAACACTCACATAGCAGTACTACTTACAAATATGAACTGAATAGTAAAGAACTTTTTGGTGATGCTGAATTTTGCCATTGGAAGTAAAAAATTAGGTAAGTACTTACTGAAGATTTTAACTTGGTTTATACATCTTATCTGGAGGAAGTAGAATGAACTCCATTTCAAAAATCTGCAACTGAAAAAGTTAAGCTCACAGGAGGTTAAGGGAAAACACACCATGCTGGCTGATGTTTTTGTCTTTATGAACTGCACGTAGATTTAGCAAAGGACACAAAACATGCAAGTGCGAAGAATGAAACTTGGAAGGAATGTAATGAGTTACTTCTCCCAGCAACAGACTCTAATCACATCCCACAATGACCACAAATATGTTGAAGGCAGGCCTGGCTGTGCCCTTGTGATGCTCTGAGCAGAGTATTCATCTTCCAAGGAATCTTTCAAAAACACCAAAGAATTTTCTGTTCTCAGTAATCTGTTACCTGGCCACTAGCCCAATTAAACAGTTCACTTGGGCTGACCAGGAAGAGAAGATGAATGGAAATATTTTGGGATTCTCTAAGGCAGGCCTCAGGCAGTAACACTCAAAATAATGTGTAAAATTAGGGTCATTACTCTAAAAAATTGTCTCAGCTATCTTACATCTTTAAAATAAATTCAGTTGGAGATTAAGCATACATGAAGATGCTCACCTTCTTTCAAAATAGTGGAATATAAAGTAAAATCACATCAAGATACCATTTTTTTCATCAATGGGTGAAGATCAAAAAGGTTAATACATTGTGTGATTGGCCAGGCTGTAGGTAAGTGTCCCCATGTAGTGCTACTGGTAGCATATATTGGCACAATATTCATTGGCAGGTCTAATCTCTGATTTTACCTTATTTACAACTAGTAAGTTATGTTACTCTTTCATGGATGCTGGAAGACAAGAAACTCTTGAATCAGAGATACAGGACTTTACTACAGCACAGTAAGCAAATAAGCATTACCATATTTGCATCTGTTCCTTTTGTCCCCAAGTCCAGCAGGGACAACATAAAAGGCCCAGATGTTTGCTGTATAGATACAGTGGGTTCTTGTTGCAACTGAGGAATGCTGAGCTTGGGGGAAATTAACCTGTTTGATAGCAAGCAGTAAGCATGCTTGCTCTTTGGCCAGGGACCCAGAGAAACATTACCTCATCCCTCAAGGTTGTTCCTGGCAAACCCAACTTTGAGAAATGGCCAGGTTGAGTGGTCAGGGCCTGCATTCTTGGCATACCTTGCAAAATGTGTAGGGGAGAACCATGGAGGAGTGTCTCCCAACACTATGCTGGGCAATTTGGCAATGTTTATAAAAGTTGTGAATACTTGCCTTCTGACCTAGATTCCTACATATTTTCCTATGCCAAAATAATGTTTGTAGGTTATTTATTCCAGCATTGCTTATAATAGCCAAAAATCAGAAACAACTGAAATGTCCATCAATATGGGACTGACTTGATTATGAAACACCCTCACAATGGAATACTATGCAGTAGTAATAAAGAATGAAGAATTTCTCTATGTGCTGATATACAGATGGCCAAGGTACACTAAGGGAAGAAAAAGGATGCAGAAAAACATGAATACTCTCCCATTTGTATAAAAGAGAGAAAAAAAAAGGTATATTTTCTTATACTGTGTATGCACAGACTCTTCATTTCTAGTATCATCTGTTGTCTGTGGAGAGATGAATGACCAGGTAATGGAATAAGCCAAACCAAACCAAACCACACCCATTGCCGTCAAGTTGATTCTGACTCATAGCAACCCTTCAGAACAGAGTACAACTGTCCCATAGGGATTCCAAGGAGTGGCTGGTGGATTCAAACTGCCGACCTTTTGGTTAGCAGCCATAGCTCTTAACCACTGCGCGGCCAGGGCTCCAAGGGTAATGGAATAGATTTTTTTTGTATATCCCTTTATACATTTTGATTTTTAAGCCATGTGCTTGTACCTATGCAAAACACTAACCCAAAGTAAAACAAGCTTATTTTTTTCCCGAATTTCTTAATACCACCCATTTTAAGGCAAAGGTTGGGGTACTGCACTTACCCTCTCAGTTTAACTTTCTCCTGCAGGGAAATTAGCTATTATTTATGATGTATTTTATAACCCACCCACAATGTATACAGTGGAGCCCTGGTGGTACAGTGGTTAAGAGCTCAGCTGTTAACCGAAAGGCCAGGAGTTTGAATCCCACCAGCTGCTCCTTGAAAACCCCATGTGCAGTTCTACTCTGTCCTATAGGGTCACTATGAGTTGGAATCGACTTGATGGCAAGAGGTTTGGTTTGGTATACATACAGTAGCCTCCCCCCATCTGTGGTTTCATTTTCCTCAGTTTCAGTTACCCTTGGTCAACCGCCACTGGAAAATGTCAAATAAGTAGGTAGCATGATGAAATCTCATGCTGTCCTGCTCTGTCATTCTATTAGTTATATTGTTAATCTCTTACTGAGCCTAATTTATAAATCAAACTTTATCACAGATACATATGTATAGGAAAAATCATGTATCTATAGGATCTGGCATTATCCCTGGTTTCAGGCATCCATGGGAGGTCTTGGAACATATCCCCTGAGGATAAGGGGACTACTGTATCTGATATCCTATTTAATCCATTCAACATTAATGACTAACGAGGTATATTTTGTCTCCATTTTACACAAGAGAGACTGGGTCGCAGAACCACAGCCTGATTTGGACTTTGTGTGTCTGACGTGAAAGCCTGTTTTTCTGACATCCCCAGGGCCTTCGTCAGACAGAACTGTGTCTGGGGAGAGTCTTCTCCCCTCCCCTCTTGTCATGGTGGCTCCTTCAGTAAGTAGTTCACAGACCCAGCTATATGTGCATCACTGGACAGCTGGTGGGAGTTGTAACATGTCGATAAAAGCAAGAACTTACAAATCCCAATAAAACATGACACCAACTAAAGTATTTGGATTCAAAATTTTAATAATAAATTGTGCCAGTAGAAGCTCTTCAAAGGCAATGGTATATCAATAAATAATAGTTAAATTGAGTTCCTGAGAAAGAACCTACCACATGAAAGTACGTCAGAGCGCTGTAAATAACAAAATGGCGTTACTATAAAATAGCAAAATACTGACATTCACGATACAAGCACAGCAGACTTCAGAATATGCCATTCATACAAATGTAAACAAGTACACAGGAATCATTTTTTTTTTTAAGTTTAGACATTGATAAATTTGTAAGTGTTGTTGCCTAGATAGGTACTAAATAATGGATACATTACACAATAAACTTCAAAGAAAATTATGTGGAATAATATAATGAAAAATATGATGCATCAGATTTTTTAAAAAGCAAGAAAAATTGAACGTTTTACTCAAATATAAATCACTTTAAATAGGATTCATACTAATTTGAAATAAGGAATATTTTGTGTTTATGTAGTTATATATACACCTCTACTTCTAAGAAAATATGTATGGCTTACTCATTTTTGTATTCCATTGTCACTATGAATAATCCTTGCTTTTTTACAAAGATTGGAAAAATGTATTTAAAAACAAAAAACAAGATCTGACGAACTTCAATGCACACCAAAAGAATGTGAAGGAGACATAAGATTACTAAATCTCATTGTGATAACATCTCATTGTGGTAACACCTCAGTTGCTTAAGACAACAGGTGGATACCTTTCACTTTAACCTTTCAGTGTGGACAGTCTGCTGGTGAAAAAACAAAGCAGTACGGGCATAGCTACTGACAGAATTCTACACATTAGCTATCCCAAAAATGAAGAGTATACTGACTAGAGAAATGGACATAGTTTCATAATTAACTTAAACATTTTTGGCATCCCTAAATTAATCCCTTTTGATGTGTACAATTTTAGTATGTGATAGATGTTTAACTCCCCAAAGAATTCAATCACACCCCAAGACACACAAAAAAATCGCTTCTCATACACATCTGCATTTCTTAACAAAACAATAAGGGATACAATCATAGCAAGGAAATCACCCACACTATACATTATTAACACACTGTCTAGAACACCTCACTTAAAGATACTTGATAAAAACATATTCACAGGACCTGCTGTGAATGGCAAGATATGGTAATTTTATTATAGAAAAAAACTGCTCATGCAGCATTCTCCACACACCAGACATCTAAAACCACAGCCACATAATCGTCTTGCTCACACTTCCTACTGTACTAGAATATGCAAAAAGCAAACAAAAAGCAGCCTTTAACATTATATCACAATTTTGAAATGTGGGAAAAAATATAAAATAAAAACCACTGTGTAAAATAAAATGGTATCAGTAACATCAGAGCAGTGTTTTTTTGTTTTGTTTTTTAAATTATTGCACAGAGATTTTATCACATGTTCTTCAGTTTTTATGTCTTTTCCTAAATGTGAATAAGAGCTATGGATAAAATACAAATGTAGAAAGTAACAGCAGCATGATTTGTCAAAGTTAATCCCTATAATTTAGTAAGAAAAAATGGATATAAACAAAATAAGTGCTCTTTTAAACTGTACTAAGTTTTGAAAAATATTGTTTTAATGTGGTGAAGGTCCTTAAAAGCCAATACAAAGGTAATATTGACCCTATCAACCAGATCTACAATGAAGATCTGCTAGACTCGGGTCTTTTTAAAGTTTTGATTTGGTTGGTTCTTTGTTGTTAAAGGCCAGTATTCACATGTAGCATCAATAGACTAACTCACAACCTTCCTAGCCAGCCTGTTCCGGGTATGCCTGCGAGGAAGTGGCTTCTGAGGACGCGAAGCGTCTACACGTACACGGGCTGGCAGCCCTCAGTCTGGTCCCCGACAGCTGCGTTTTCTCCATCTGCACTCTCAGACTGATTGCCTTCTGCTCCTGAAGGTTTAGGGCATCGGAAGGGGTAGCCATTGTCATCAAAGAACCTTCGGAAGGTGAACTCATAGAAGGCGTGCTCAGGATGTTTGTTGTTGGCAGAGGTGAGCGTGTCCCATGCCTTGGTGCTGTCTTCACTGGCCTCGTCCCATGGGCCTTCCTCATCCACGGGGTCGAAGTTGGAGGTGTCCATGGGATGGCTGATCTTGGGCACATAGGGCGCGGGCTGCTTACGGATGTCGCTGGAGAAGTCGATGGTACTGAAGAATGGGTGGGCCTTGAGCTCGTCGGCCCCAGCCCTGCCTAGCCGGCTATCGGCAGCACAGCACAGCCTGGTGATGAGGTCCCGGGCCTCAGGGCTCAGTTTGACCTGGGCTGGGATGTGGAGTGTGCTCTCCCAGTTTATCACCTGGAGGGACAGAGAACAATGCCTGAGTGCCTCTGCACATGCAGGGCCAACCTAGGGTGGTTTTGGGCCTCTATGTGATAACATGTTAACTTTAGGTAGTCTTAGTTTCCTAATGGGAGAACAGTTAGAATAGAATTAGAAGCAGCAGTTGTTGATTTGAGAAGCTATAAAAAGTCACTCTATTCACCTGGAGCAACAGAGGATGAAAGAGAGTCAGTAATAGGAGGAAGATATAGAATGTGTGGCTAATTGCCTCCATGAATAACTGCCACCTCCTTTGCCACGAGACCAGTAGAACTGGATGGTGCCTGGCTACCATTAGTGAACATTTTGATCAAAAATTCCATAGAAGAATCCTGATCAAAAGGTGGAAAATGCAGAACAGAATGTCAAATTCTCCTGGACTCCAGACTTTCTGAAGCCATGGAAAATGGATGAACATCTGAAACTATGCCCTGATAATCTTAAAACCTTAAATCTTTAAACCTTAAACCAAAAATATTCTCTGAAGTCTTCTTAAAACCAAACAACAGTTTAGCTTAACTGATAAAAAATGTCTGCCTTGAGCATTATACTCGTTTAAGAACTATCTATATGGGATCAAACTGACAACAGCAACTTGGAAAATTAGATAGGAACCTTAGGGTGCAGTGAATTTATGTTAATGAGAAAGGAACAACTCTGAAAAGGAGGATGAGAATCGTTGCACAACTGGAAGAATGTAAGCAATGTCATCAAATTGTACATGAAAAAACTGAATTGGTAGATGTTTTGGTGTGTATAGTCTCAACAAAATCAACAAAATAAAATTTAGGTTAAAAAAAAGTCACTCTACTTTTGGTAGGTGGTTCGCAGTCTGAGGCACAGGATGACAAAGCCAAATACAGACAAAAAGATACTGATTTTCTTCTATCATAAACATTGTTTAACAAAATAACTTTGAGCTTTCTACAAAAATGACAGTACTGATCCCTCTATGAGTTGTTTCTTTAGCTATGGCAATGGGTTTTTGTTTAACCATCACCACAGCTCTCATTCAAGATTCACCGTGGCTGAGAGATGGTCAATTGTTTTTTTTTAAACTGCAACTTCACGGACAGGAAGAATGAAGATGACTGGCCCTATGGCCTTGGCCTCATGTCATGGTGCCCAGCCACACAAACCAGCCGTCGGATGTTCAGAGAGATGTGTCTACAGGGAAAAAGAGAACCTACAGAACTTCTTCAATGTTTATGCTTAGAATCAGGATCAAACAAGGCCAGTATAACTGGCTACAGCTGGGGGTGCAGGGACAGTGGGTGAGGCATGAAAGTGGTTGGTGTATGGGTGGGTGGGATGGTTTGAACCTCAGCAGTTGTTTTTGAAAAGAATATGACTATTTATTCTGCCACTTTAATGAGGAAAGAGAAAAAACTGTCTATACGTTCTGCTTTACTAGGTGACAAACAATGAGTACGGGGAAAGTGGGTCCTTTGGGGGAAGTTTAGGAAGATGGGGTTGAAAACCAAATCCTAGTCCTGCATTGGGCTTAACTTCAATGCTGTATAATCTTCTTGTGAATGATTTAAAGAAAAAGTTGTAGAGTATATAACAGTATTAAAACCAGACTGCTTAATTAGGTATGCATTTGGGGGGGCCGGTGAGGGAATATAGGGGAAAGGAGGTAGGCATGGTGTAATACAAAAAAACTAGGTGTTGTTGGGTAGATTCTGACTCACAGCGACCCTACAGGACAGAGCAGAATTGCCCCACAGGGTTTCCAGGGCTGTAAATCTTTATGGAAGCAGACTGCCACATCCTTCTCCTGTGGAGTGCCTGGTCTGTTCAAACCGCCGACTTTCTGGTTAGCAGTCAAGTGCTTTACACCACTACACCACCAGGGCTCCTTAGGCATGGTATAGAGGAAATCAAGGAAATGAGATGAGGCTTGGTGAACATAACAGTAGGTGTTTGGATCAGTCAAGTACTAGAAGAATTAATCACCAAATCACCTGCCTATAATTCGGCAATATTAAAAATCTGAAGAATGTGCACACCCTTTGACCTAGCGATTCACTTCTAGGAATCTATTCTGAGTGAACAACATGGATAGTTATAAAGATTTAGCTATAGGAAGATGTTCAGGGTGAAAAAAATCTGGAGCAATATAAATGGCTTATTAAAACATACTGGTTAAATTATGGTATATTTATATATAATGGACCATCATACAGTCATAAAAATAATACCACAGAATATTAAGTAATATAATCCAACATCATGATTTGCACCATGCCTCAGTGCTTCTAACTAGAATAACAGCTCACAGTCCTTCCCTGGAAATACCAAGATGGCAGATAACCAATGGCTTAAATAAAATTTCAGGTACATATATGCATATAAAAACTGGCTCTAATTCTTATGTCTTCAGTTATCAAAATAAATTTTTAAAAAATAAATGATAATATTTAAAAAATCCCATTATATACAACTGACATTCCTACCCTACTCAGAATAAGAGGTCAAATGTTCACCAAGGAAGGGGTTCATCAGAAAACCACTGTCTTTTCTGCAACCAGACAGATGTTTCTTTCTTAGTTACCTTCAGTTGGGTTTCTGTGGGAGTAGGTGCCAAAAAGGGCGGTTGCCCCACCAGCATCTCGAAGAGAATCACCCCAACACTCCACCAGTCACACAGCTGAGTATATCCTGCAAGACAGAGGCTAATTCTATTACTACCCTGGCACTTAGTCATTCTTCTCAGAGATGAATTTTATGAGATACAGAAAGTACTCATTTACTCTGAAGTGGAAAAGCTATCAAAGTAGCATATGTATTATGGCATGCTCAAAAGAAAACAGATCTACATAAAAATGATCTATCTGCATGTAGGGCTTAGAGGAGAAGGCAAGAAAGGACATACATCAAGATGTTAGCAGTGTTTGCACAGGTGGGCCTATGGCCACTTTTTCTTTTCTTATTTTAAATCATTATTTGTGAAATGTCAGGTGAAGCCAATCATGGAGGACTCCTGAATACGTTCACTAACTCAGTTTTGGAAGAAGTGGAAGACTGGGATTGGGAAACAGATGGGCGCTTTAGCAAAAGGAGTATCTGGACAAATTCCCTTAACCTAAAACAGGCTCTCTGTGCCAGGCACTAAGGAAGACCCAGGCCCTTCCTCAAAAACTGCTGTTCCCTGCCAGCAGCAGCTGGGGCCAACGTTCTGACCGTGTGGCCGGGCCAATCCTTAAGGAGGCTGCAGACCAGGTTCATTTGTCTTTGATTTTCTCCCACTTTTCTGTTAGAGCCCAACATCCCAGTCCCGACCATGTTCCAATCTTGATGTCGCCTACTCCTTGCTCAGGTGTGAGCTGGCACTTATGATATGCCAGGCTAACTCCTTCAGATCTCCTATGTTCTCCCTCTATTCCACCTCATCACCACCCAGCTGGGCACTTAAGGCTACAGAACTCCAGCTGCTCCCAACCACCAGTTCCTCTGGCTGCTGCACATGCAGTAGGGCCAGCGGGGACTGGAGTGGGGTGCGGCAAGGGCTGTTCTTAGCCCAGCACCTCTAACCTTCCCCTGTGAGAGGAGGGGAAGCCAAAGTAATATTGGGCACCAAAGTCAATATTCACAATCATGTTTCAAAATAGTTATTATTACAGATGAGAGAATGTGGCTCTAAGTGGTTAAGTAACTTATCCTGGATTATCATCACTAATAAAGAAAACCTAGTCTTCAACTACTCATCTGTCAATTTGTCATACTGTAGTGGCTTGTGTGTTGCTGTGATGCTGGAAGCTATGTCACTGGTATTTCAAATACAGCAGGGTCACCCATGGTGGACAGGTTTCAGCAGAGCTTCCAGACTAAGACAGACCAGGAAGAAGGACCTGGTGATCTACTTCTAAAAAAAACTGTCCAGTAAAATCCTTATGAATAGCGGCAGAATATGGTCTGATGTAGTGCTGGAAAATGAGCCCCTCAGGTTGGAAAGCACTGAAAATATGACTAGGAAAGAGCTGTCTCCTCAAAGTATAGTTGACCTTAATGACGTGGATGGAGTAAAGCTTTTGGGACCTTCATTTGCTGATGTGACATGACTCAAAATGAGAAGAAACAGCTGCAAACATCCACTGATAATTGGAATGGGGAATACATGAAGTATAAATCTAGGAAAATTAGAAGTTGTCAAAAATGAAATAGAATGCATAAACATCAATATCCTAGGGATTAGTGAGCTGAAAAGGACTGGTATTGGCTATCTGAATCAGACAATCATATGGTCTACTATGCCAGGAATGACAAACTGAAGAGGAGCGGCATCACATTCATTGTCAAAAAGAACATTTCAGGATCTATCCTAAAGTAAATGCTGTCAGTGATAGGATAATATTCGTATGCCTACAAAGAAGACAAGTTAATATGATTATTATTCAAATTTACACACCAACCACTAGTGCCAAAGATGAAGAAACTGAAGATTTTTACCAACTCCTGCAGTCTGAAATTGATCAAACATGCAATTAAAATGCATCGATAATTACTGGTGATTACAATGCGAAAGTTGGAAACAAAAATTCAGTAGTTGGAAAATACGGCCTTTGTGATAGAAATGATGCCAGACAAGGCTAAGATTAGCCCAAAGGACCAATGGACCACAACCACCATGGCCTCTAACAGACTGAGTCCAGTACAACTAGATGGTGCCCAGCTACCACTACTGACTGCTCTGACATGGATTACAACAGAGGGTACTGGACAGAGCTGGAGAAAAATGTAGAACAAAATTCTAACTCACAACAAAAGACCAGACTTACTGGTCTGACAGAGACTGGAGAAACCCCACGAGTGTGGCCCCTGGACACCTTTTTAGCTAAGTAATGAAGTCACTCCCGAGGTTCACCCTTCAGCCAAAGATTAGACAGCCCCATTAATAAAACAAAACCATGAGACTAATGGGGCACAACAGCCCAGGGACAAGGACTAGAAGGCAGGAGGGGACAGGAAAGCTGGTAATAAGGAACCCAAGGTTGAGAAGGGAGAGTGTTGACATGTCGTAGGGTTGTTAACCACTGTCATAAAACAATATGTGTACTAACTGTTTAATGAGAAACTATTTGTTCTATAAGCCTTCATCTGAAGTACAAAAAAATAAAAAATAAAAAAAAATGATGCCAGAGATCACATGATAGAATTTTTGCAAGACCAACAACTTCTTCATTGCAAATACCATTTTTCAACAACATAAACAGTGACTACACACATGGACCTTGCCAGATGGAACACAGGAATCAAATCAACTGCATCTGTGGAAAGAGACGATGGAAAAGCTTAATATCATCAGTCAGAACAAGGCCAGGGACTGACTGCAGAACAGACCATCAATTGTTCATATGCAAGTTCAAGTTGAAGCTGAAGAAAATTAAAACAAGTCCACGAGAGCCAAAATACAACCCTGAGTACACTGCACCTGAATTTAGAGATCATCTCAAGAATAAATTTGATGCACTGAACACTAATGATTGAAGACCAGATGAGTTGTGGGATGACATCAAGGACATCATACATGAAGAAAGCAGAAGTCATCAAAAAGACAGGAAAGAAAGAAAAGACCAAAACGGATGTCAGAAGAGACTCTGAAACTTGCTCTCGAACACAGAGTAGCTAAAGTGAATGGAAGAAATGATGAAATAAAAGAGCTGAACACAAGATTTCAAACAGAGGCTCAAGAAGACAAAGTAAAGTATTATAATGGACCATGCAAAGATCTGGAGTAAGAAAACCTAAAGGGAAGAACACACTCTGCATTTTTCAAGCTGAATGAACTGAAGAAAAAAATTCAAACCTCATGTTGCAATGCTGAAGGATTCTATGGGCAAAACACTGAACAATGCAGGAAGCATCAAAAGAAAATGGAAGGAATACACAGAGTCACTGTACCAAAATGAACTGGTCAACATTCAGCCATTTCAGAAGGTAATGATCAAGAACTAATGTTACTGAAGGAAGAAGTCCAACCTGCACTGAAGGCAATGGCAAAAAACAAGTCTCCAGGAATTGATGGGATATTAATTGAGATATTTCAACAAATGGATGCAATGCTGGAAGTGCTCACTTGTCTATGCCAAAAAATTTGGAAGACAGCTACTTGGCCAACCAACTGAAAGAGATCCATATTTGCGCCTATACGAAAGAAAGATGATCCAACAGAATGTGGAAATCATCCAACAATATCATTAGAATCACACAAGCAAATTTTGCTGAAAATAATTTAAAAACGGACAGGGAACTGCCAGAATTTCAGGCTGGATGCAAAACAAGGGATATCACTGCTGATATCAGATGGACCTTGGCTGAAAGCAGAGAATACCAGAACGATGTTTACCTGTGTTTTATTGACTATGCAAAGGCATTCGACTGTGTGGATCATAACAAATTATGGATAACAGTGCGAAGAATGGGAATTCTTAATTGCATTCTAATAATGGAAGCACTTAATTGTGCTCATGAGGAACCTGTACATGGACCAAGAGGCAGTCGTTTGAACAGAAGAAGGGGAGCTGCATGGTTTAAAATCAGGAAAAGTGTGCGTCAGGGCTGTATATTTCCACCATACTTATGCAATCTGTATGCTGAGCAAAGAATCTGAGAAGCTAGACTATGAAGAAGAACACGGCATCAGGATTGGAGGAAAACTCATTAACAACCTGTGATACACAGATGACACAACCTTGCTTGCTGAAAGCCAAGAGAACCTGAAGCACTTACTGATGAGGATCAAAGACTACAGCTTTCAGTATGGATTACACCTTAACATAAAGAAAACAAAAATCCTCACAACTGGACCAGTAAGCAACATCATGAGAAATGGAGAAAAGACTGCAGCTGTCAAGGATTTCATTTTACTTGGATCCACAATCAATGCCCATGAAAGTGCCATCAAGAAATCAAACGATGTATTTATTGGGCCAATCTGCCGTAAAAGACCTCTTAAAAATGTTAAACAGCAAAGATGTCACTTTGAGGACTAAGGTGTGCCTGACCCAAGCCGTGGTGTTTTCAATCACCTCATATGCATGCAAAAGCTGGACAATGAATAAGGAAGACCGAAGAATTGATGTCTTTGATTTATAGTGTTGCGAAGAATATTGAATATACCATGGACTGCCCGAAGAATAAACAAATCTGTCTTGGAAAAAGTACGGCCAGAATGTTCCTTAGAAGCAAGGATGGTCAGACTTCATCTCACATACTTTGGATATGTTATCAGGAGGGACCAGTCCCTGGAGAAGGACATCATGCTTGGTAAAGTAGACGGTCAGTGAAAAAGAGGAAGACCCTCAACAAGATGGACTGACACAATGGCTGCAACAATGGACTCAAATATAGCAATGATTTTGACGATGGCGTAGGACTGGTGTTTTGTTCTGTTGTACATAGCGTAGCTATGAGTTGGAACTTACTCAAGGGCACCTAATAACAACAACAACAATAGACTTTTACCCAGGTCTGGCTAGCTCCAAAGACACTGCCGTGCAATGAATTACTTAACATGGTCCTCCTAGCCATGGTCTTTGTGACTCACACACAATGACTGAGTGGAACTACGCAAGTAAGGTACATGGAATCTGTGATGGTTGGGGTTATGTGTCAACTTGGCTGGGCCACGGTTCCTGGTATTGTGTGGTTGTCCTCCATTTTACGTGTTGTGGATCCTGACTGCTACATGTTGATGAGGCAGGACTGGTATAAGGTGTGTCCTGGGTCACAGCCTTGCAGGAGGGCATGACTCAAGCCCTACCCTTACTAAAGCTATGCCTTTCCCTGGGGTGTGGCCTGCATCTAAGATATATGCTTGTGTCCTGGAAAGGCTCTCTTTCTCTGCATCTGGATCCCATATCCGGTTTGTCATCAAATGACCTCGCCAGAGGCCTGCTGTCTGACCTCCTAATTCTGGGATTTGCCAGCCTCCACAGCCCCTTGTGTATGACCTGATTTGCCAGCTTCTGCAGCCTTGTTAGCCAGCAGCCTGTGGTATGAACTGCCAGTTTGGGTTCATCAGCTCCTGCAGCCACATGGGTTGGGAGAAGCCTACATCTGACCCACGACTTGCCAGCTTCCACAACCACGTGAGCCATTTCCTTTACAGGGTTCATGAGTTCTGTGAGACATTGCAGTGAATTAGGCAACCCAAAGATGGGAGGGAGAGTGCTGATGGGAGAGGGAGTAGTTGATGTTAGAGATGATGGAGTGGTACAGCAGCTTGGAAAAGTTGGACATTTGGGACATCTTTAACCTCCGCCTCATAGGAACCAGCTTTGTGCCAATTCTTACAAAAGAAATTATTCATTTAGACACCCCTGAAGCAATACATATAAAAAGAGAGGCTTTCTATCTCTGGATTTATTACATAGAATCAGATTGGCAAACCATCATGACGCTGGGCCATGCACGTGATCACTGAGCCAGATGCCAGATGGGATAAAACGGATCATCCATCCAGGAGACAAAGTCTACTCATGCACACTACTGTGCACCAATCTTACCCTCAGAGCACCTCTGGTCTAGTAGGGGTGAACTGGAGTGTTTTGTGTCATACTCAATAGCCAGTTTGAGATGGTATACAACTCAGCTAGGAACCCAGGTAAGGAGAGTTAAACCTGAAGCCTGGAAATAAATGGTTTAGGCAGACTGAGAACTACTCCTTGACCGTAAGAGCTATTTCGATCATATAACTGTTCCCAAGGTCAAACCCAGCTCTACCTGGGTTCCAGGCAGAAAGCCTTCAACCCATGGTGAACCCATCACCTCACGAGGAAAGGCCACATCGCCAACCAGTCAACAGCAAGCCGAGACTGGCCTATGTGCATGTTTTCTATTACCCCTGGAAATCGGCAATTCCAAGACAGCAGTGAAATACACGGAGGCTTGTTAACGAAATAATTGAGTTCTGAGGCTTCCATGGGTACAACAATATCATTTGACTATCTACAGTCTTAGAATGCCAGAGCTGGGGAGAATCCCAGAGGTCACCTGGCTACATGGGTTTGAGGTTAAAGACTGCTACAGCTCGGGAGCAGGACTGTGAGCACTCAAGGCTGTGAACACTCAAGACATCACGAGCACGCACCTTTGCGAAGGAGCACCTCCGGAGCGATGTAATTCGGAGTCCCCACCAGGGAGTGTGCCAGGCACCTCTGGTGCTGCTTCCGTGCCCTCTGCTCCAGGGTCTTCAGCCGATCTCCACAGCGACAGTTAGACACATCATCCCAGAAGTCGCTGGGCTCCATACTATCCTGCCGGATGTGGTTCCCTTCCACCCGGGAATCAGGGTGGTGAAAGGAGAGAGTGAATAGGAAATCTTCACTATCTAACAATGCAGCAAACCCACAGCTTAAAGAAGAAAGATAATTGGGGCACCTGCTCTTCTGGGGCCTAAAACACAAGCTGTACAGTAAACACCAGCACCAGGGTAGGAACAGCAGCTGAAGCAACAAGAAGAGACCACAGTGAGCTGAGCTGGCAATAAAAAAAGGCTAAACTACCTGCGAGGATACCATTCTTAGCAATTGTCAGGCCAACATTCAAGTATCTTAGTACCTGTTTAACATGTTTTAAGAAAAGTATGGAAAAACTTAAGAGGATTTAAAAAATATGAACAAAAATAACTTAAATGCCATAAAATGAGAATAAAGAAGAGTTAAATGATTTAGGATTAGTTTTGAATTAAAAATAAAAGCCTGAGCTATGGCATTAAAATAGCTATTTCAAGAATCTGAACAATAAAGACGATAATGACCAGCTGTTTGAGATTTTTCCTAATAGCAGAACTACAGCAAATGGCGTTAAATTATACATCGAGATAGTCAGGTTAGATATGAGAGGATTCTTGATAGGAAAAGTGAGTGAACATGAAAACAATGGGAGACTGTGGAACTTTTACTTTTTTCAGTCTCTTCTCAATAGGGCAGAGTGGCTCCCAATGAAGGCCCTGTGACACCCCATAGCCTGTTGTCCTAAAAATATTACAATGAAACTTAAATCCACAAACTTAAAAAAAAAAAACGTTTCACACAAATCATACTATTCCTTTAGGAAGAAAAGCACGTCACACCAAATTAAAAAAAGATGGAATAACAGATAAATTCAAAATGATCAAGTCCCATCTGGATGGGGAAATCTTTGTCTTGGGTTCCATTACATTTCAATATAGAGAGTGGATGGAATGACAGTGACATGCACAGGACAATACCTTTCTGGTAATATTTGGAATTGTGAGTCCACCGGAACCCTGTGCAGAGGCCAAAGTCTGTCAGCTTGATGTGGCCATCGAGATCAATCAGAATGTTGTCCGGTTTGATGTCACGGTGGATGAAGCCCATCTTGTGCACGCTCTCAATGGCCAGCGTCAGCTCCGCGATGTAGAAGCGGGCCAGTGGCTCGGGAAAGACCTCCATCCGGATCAGCAGGCTCATCATGTCCCCCCCAGGAATGTAGTCCATCACAAAGTACAGGCTGTCCTTGTCCTGGAATGAGTAGTAGAGCTTCACCACCCACTCATTGTCTGCCTCAGCAAGGATGTCCCTCTCCGCCTTGACATGGGCCACCTGGTTCCGGTTCAGGACATCCTTCTTCCTTAGTGTCTTCATGGCATACAGCGCATGTGTGTCCACCTTACAAGCGAGGCACACCTCCCCAAAGGCGCCGATGCCCAGTGTTTTGATTTTCACAAACATGGACTTATCCATCTTGGCCCTCTTCAGCCTGTTGTAGTTGGACTCCTTCTGGTAGAGGATCTTCCTCATCTGCTCCTGCTCGGCTTCACAGAGGCCAGCCTTGGCGGAAGAAGAACAAGGAGCATGAGTCACAGTGCAGTAGCCCCATGACAGACATGAACTAGGAGATGCTGACTTGACTTACAGATTTGAGAATACAGAGAAATGGGGCCCCCAAGACTATGTGCAAGATGACTGGTTCTGCTCTTTATGTCAACATATGGACATATATCTGGAACCCAAAGGTAATACAGAACCAGTTCTTTCTCTAGGTGACTTCAGGCACTAAAACTAAGGAAAATAGATTAATAAGATTAATAAACAGATTAATAAAAATCTGTGGGGAAGGGGGACACAAACTACCTGGAACTCCAAGAGCAAATTAGTATTTAAATAGCTCAGGAAACATGGGAAAACAAGAAAGAAAACAGGCAATGAAAATGGGACAGCAGAAAGCAAGAGCATAAATTTGTTTAGAGTTTGAAATTATTGGCTTTGTGTTGTGTAATTTTACTGTTACATTTTAATTTAAATAATTTCATTAACAATGACCTTCTCTAGTCAGCTAAGGTATACTTAGAACATTATTCACTCAATAATGACTTAAATTAAGGATAAATGGATCATGTTTTTTCCTCACAATCTAAATTTATAAAATCTTGGACTTCATTTTTGTTCTTTCAAAATGTTACATTATTATTAGTAATCCTTGATGAATTGTGTTAAAGAATAAGGACACACCAGGTGATGGTTAATGTTATGTGTCAACCTGGCTTGGCTATGATTCTCAGTGGTTTGGCAGATGCTATGCAATCACCTTCCATGATGTGATCTGATGTGGGCAGCCAATCAGTTGGAAGGGGAGTTTCCTTGGGGGTGTGGCCTACCTCCAGTATATAAATGGATGTTCTGGCAAAGCATGCTCTCTTTCTCTACCCTGCACTCCTCTCGTCGCCTGACCTCAAGTTCTTGGGAAGTAAGCCTGCAGAAGTCTTTGGCCTGCCACCTGACTTGCAGATTTTGGATTCGTCAGCCCCCACAACCCTGTGAGCCAGCAGAGGCCTCTACCCCTGACCTATAGATTTTGGGTTCATCAGCCCCTGCAGCCACATGAGCCAGCAGAGGTTTTCAGCCTGTTGCCTGACACACAGATTTGGGACTTTCCAGCCGCCACAACTACGTGAGCCATTTCCTTAAGGTAAATTTCTCTATATATATATCTACATATGCTTCACTGGTTTTGTTCCTCTAGAAAACCCACACTAAGATATACCATAAAAATCAATTTGTTGATTCACCTATTAGCAAAACAAAACTACAGGATGCGGGAACAGTTTTCACATGCAGGAACAGTTTTCACCGACTCCTGGAAGAGTCAGGGTAAAAGGGGAGGCCCTGGTTGCTTAGTTAATAACGTGCACCCTTTGTAACTCCTCCAAGTTGCTCCCATCATAACCAGACTGTCACCATGGGTGATGGGTTTGTGATAAAGGTGTATAAAGCAGAAACAAAAAAACGAGATTTTGCTGTGGCCCATGTTACCAGTTAAGGAAAGAGCACAGGTCAAGTGGTGGGCATGCAAGGAGAAATTACTTTTGCCATTTCCTGTTCCAGTTGCAGCCTGCGGTTGACCTTCTGCTGGTAGGTTTTTATGACATTCTCTACGTGTTGCTCCATGAAGAATTTAAATGCATACGGTGAGTAGCTTTTGATGCGAGACTCTCTCTTCTCTTCATCTTGGCTGTTTTTCCGAACAGGAACAGGAGAGGTCTGGATTTGCTTTTTATCCTTCCCCATTTTCTCCCCTTTGGTACTCTTGTGGCCCTTGTCACTCCTGTCGGCAGGCTCGGCAGCCTGGCCGGCTCGAAGGCCCTGCTCCAGCCCTACACACAGGCTGTCCACTTCATACTGCTCCGGCTTACTCTGCAGTAATAGGTGCTTTGGGTATGGTGGGGGTGGGCAGCGCATCTCTGGGCTGCCATACTCCATGTCCAGTGGGTATGCACTCGTGCCCCCCAAGGGCAGAGGATGCTCATCCTTGGGGTCCAGGCCCTCTACAGCCGAGCTGGGCGCTGGCATCCAGGCAGGGTGGGAGGGTCCCACGGCTGTCTGGGGCTCTGGCCTCAGCACCCTCACACTCTTCACTGGGTGCAGGATGTGGGCAGATGTGACGGCTGTGATGGTGTTGGGAGAGGGCATGGAAGGCTCTGCTTTGCTGGGGGCTCCCGCCCTGATGGGCACCACCACCTGCTGCTGGTGGTTGTTAAAGGAGCTGGTTCTGCTGGGGACAGGACCGTTGGGCCGGAAGGGCACATGCTGACGGGGGGGTGCATCTAGGCCAGGCTTCTGAAGAGAGTCCCGGCGGGATAGAGTGGAGGACGGCCACTGCTGGACAGGAGAGGTGTTCATCTCATTCAAGTCCATATTCAGGCTGTTCCTTGAAGGGGTGAGCAGACTCGGTGGAGGGCTGTCATTCACAAACACCTGCCCCCGAGAGCCCATCATATGGATCTGGTGGGAGGAGGGGCCGGTCTGCTTATGGTGTGGGTGCGGCAGGTACAACCCGGCAGCCACGCCTGAAGGCAGAAACGTGAGGCTGGCATTGGGCTGGGTCCCCTGGCCCTTTGCAGGAAGGTTTGCGTACCCTCCTGCCTCTGGTGACCCCTTGTTTTGGAAGGAAGGGCTGCGCTGGAGGCCATAGACCAGCGGCTCCCCCTGAATCATCAGGTGTGGGCGGCCATAGTGTGGGCCGTTGGGGCTGTGGGGGCCTGGAAGCTGCAGGGCTGGGCCCCCATGGTTACTGACAGGGAAACTCAGCACTGGGGCCTCCATATTTGCACAGTACCCTTTGGGTGGCTGCTGATGGCCACCAGGCAAGCTGTGGGCACTGGCTCTCGAAGGCCTCTGTCCAGAGAACATAAAGTCCATGTACTGGCATGTCACTTCTTTCAGCACAGTCGGGCCCTCTGCCCTGAAGCTGGGCCCCTCGTAGGCTGCCCCACTCATCTGATGGTAGGACGGGAAGGAGTCACCTGTTCCTTCGAAACTCGGCCTCCGGGCCACGCTGGCCGGTACCATGCCCTTCCCTGTGGTAGAAGAAGGGAGAGACCTGTTAGAGGAAGTGTGGGCCACACACTAGCATGTCCTCAGGCTAAAGGTGCACCACAAGCCACAGGCTCCCACTGAGGCTCTGTGACTTGGTCGGGGGGCAGGGAGGATCAGCAGGGAGCCCGTGCTAGGGGCAGAGACCAGTTGCTGCTCAAGTGGCTATGAGGAAGGAGCCTGGAGGTCGGCAGGCACATGGAAGGCCAAGGGCAGCCAAAGGCAGCAGTGGAGGGTGTCCTAGTCCTTCTGGGGAGCATTCCTCCCCCTCTGAGGGCACAGTGCTGCCCTGAATCAACACCACCCGCACCACTGCCCTCCAAGACTTGGTAGTCACTGGAAAATAAACTTTGCTTTTTTTATGAGACGCCTAAGTCGCTGGGACTATTGAGCTCACTGTCACACATTTCCCAAAGTCTGCTTTTTCCTAACACAGGGGGCAGAATTCGATCCACTGCCAAAATGTCTAGTTTTTCACCTTGTTTCAAAATTAAACATTTTCTGGGTTTTTTGTCTTTATTAAAACAAAACACACACAACAACAACAATAAAAATAACCATACAAAACCCCTCTACAAATAACCACGCTGACTTCAGCTGCTGCTTTCTTAACCCTGACTTTGTCCAGGTTGTAAATCTCTCCCCATCTGCAATAGCTGCCTGGAAGGAAGGGCAGCAGGCTCCTTAACTTCCTTTCCATGCACCACTCTGTTTTGCTGACTGCTGCCTCACCCCTCCTTCTGTGGCCCCCTCTCCCAGAAATGCCTCGGCAGACTGAAGACCCTAGGCAGCTCCACGTCCGCAGAAATCACAGCCAGACACACACTGCCTTTTGTCTGGGATAAGAAAATACATCATAAGGGAAATGCAAAAGGTAAACACTGCAAAGTGGGTCTGCTGCTGTCTTTGGAGCTGTGCAGAGATAGCCCCCAGGCCTCTCAGAGGTGGGCCATGATAGGGACTGATTATGGAGAGTCCTGTAAACAAACAAAAAAGCCCAATCCTGCTGCCATCTAGTGGAATCTGATTCATAGTGACCTTACACGACAGAGTAGAACTGCCCCAAGGGGTTTCCAAGGCTGTAATCTTATGGGGGCAGACTGCCACATCTTTCTCCTGCAGAGCCTCTGGTAGGTTCAAACTGCCAACTCTCCGACTCTCCAGTAATGTGTGTCCTCAAAACAATGAAGATACAACTTACAAAGCCTGTTTGATTTCCTGCTCACCAGATAAAGTGGGTTTTATCTAAGGCCTTCCACGAATGGGGAAAATTCCTTTTGCTAATTATCGTAAATCCTTTATCATACCCAAGGGACCTCAAGTACCAAAATACTGCCCCATCCACTCCATCCTGAAGGAGGAACACTCACTGCAGGCTGTGAGAAGCCCTCTGTGCTGGTGCCCTCTCCATCTTGAGGGGACGGGGTGTATTTAAGGGAGGCATCCCTGCCACTAGGGGGCAGTAACTCTCAGATCTGTGGGCTTGAGGAGGCCCAGCCATTGCATCGCTCCACTCAGTTTCAGAGGTTAATATGTGGAAAAGGTGTGTTTTAGAATTGATGAAGGAAGTCTCCTTTTTCGAAGGCCCAGGAGAAAATAAAGGACATTTTTTAGCTCCCTCACTTTGATAAGCTGCTAAATTCTATATCCAGTGAATTTTTTGATCTTTCATAAAACAAGCACAGGTAGTAAATATCACAGGTTATTTTGGATGGGGAGGGGCGAGGACCCAGATAAGTTCCCTCCCTGATCCACCACCTGCTAATTTCCCCTCCCCTGGCCCTCTTTTGGAGCCCTGGTGGCTCAGTGGTTAAGAGCTTGGCTGCTAACCAAAAGGTTGGCAGCTTAACAGCAGCCACTCCTTGGAAACCCTATGGGGCAGTTCTACTCTGTCCTATAGGGTCACTATGAACTGGAACTGACTCTATGGCAATGGCTTTGGTTTTGGTTTTGACCCTCTTCTGGGGCCCTGGTGCTGCAGTGGTTGAGCATTTGGCTGGCATTTGGCTGCTAACTAAAAGGTCAGCAGTTGGAATCCACCAGCTACTTCTTGGAAATCCTATGGGGCAGTTCTACTCTGTCCTATAGGATTGCTATGAGTGGCAATCAACTCAATTGCAATGGGTTTGGCTTTTATTTTTTTTAGGGGGACTCTTCTGCTAGCACAAGGTGTGGCCTGGGTTCATTGAACAAGTCTACGTTTCCCGGGAATTGTGCCAAGACTGTCCACTGCCATGCTGGGCCTGCCCTTCCTCGCACAGCAATCTTCACAAACCGCGTGGCACATCTGGGCTCACCTGAGGAGGTCTGCTTAATGACCCGCACGATCTGCTCATTCCTCGGGTCCAAGTAGCCCATCTTACTGATGTACTCCAGAGCAGCCTCAATGCTCCTGCTGCCCGTCTGCTTGAGTGCTCGGACCGCCATCTCCTAGGGGAGAAGCATATGCACAATCAATCCATCTTCAAACCATTTGAAAAAGGCCATCAAATGGTTTCAACTCCTGACTCTGCGTGATTTTGCTGTAACAATTAACGTCTCTGTGAATGCTGGTGGCTTGTCCTTCATGAGCTACATGCAACACACTACAGAGAATTCTCAGAGTTAGCACAGTTGGCTACATGTCCTGCAGGTACCTAATGACAGTATCTAACATATACTAAACCAAAGGATGTGAAGCGTATGTCAAGAACATAAATTTAAAAAATAGTAATTTATTTCATTTTTGTTATTGTTGAAAATACACACAGCAAAACATACTCTAATTCAACAATTTCTACATGTACAATTCAGTGACACTGATTACATTCTTCATATTGTGCAACCATTCTCACCCTCCTTATGTGAATTGTTCCTCTCCACTAACATAAACTCACTGCCCCCTAAGCTTCTTATCTAACCTTTCAAGTTACTGTTGTTAATTTGACCCCATACCAATCTTTAAAAGAACACAATGCTCAAGGGAGATGTACTTTGCTAACTGAGCTATTGTTTGGTTTAAAGAAGACTTCAAGGGATATTTTTGGTTTAAGGCATAAAGTCATTTTCATGCTGGACCTAAAAGGAAGCTCTGCTTCTCCTTAGAAAACTCTTGTGATTAGACTGATACATTCAGGTTTGCGGATAAACCTAAAACTGAAGAAGTTTAATGGGAAGAAGGATGGCCAGAGTCAGAGAATCTGGGTTTCACCCCAGCACAGCCACAGGCTGACCCTGGGAAAGGACTCGGTGAAGGGCATCCTCAATGCTAGAAGAGGAGCCCCAGGGCTGCCCCCAGGGGGAGGGCAGAGTTGCTGGGGTCGTTTATGAAACACTCAGTAAATGCCTACTGTTTACAGTGCCCTGTGCTAGGCTGCAACAGTAGAGGACCTTGCCCTTGGGGACTTCGTCTAGTGGGAGAAAGAAAAGATGGGCACACAAGTACCCCTTGGAGCAATGTCCAGGCCATAATAAGTCCTTTAAAATTGCTTGTTGGATGAATGAATACACAATAGAACCCTGTTGGTGCCCTAAGAAAGTGACAAAGTTGGACAAGAGTTCAGAGGAGACAAGATTTCTTCCACTCCAGGGGAAGTGCCACGCATGGCAAGCGCTGGCAGAGAAACAGTGCTCCTGGAAGATGGATCGGTCAGTGGTCAGTGCAGGAACTGGGGATGAGAATGCAGCACAGTGAAGGATGGGGTGGATGGCAGGGAGTGTGCTGGGAGACGAGACAAGTGAAGAGGACTCACAGGCATGGCCAGACTGCACGGGTTTGGATGGCAAGTTCCAGAGGCTGTGCCCTCTTGGAGGGGAGTCACCGGGAACATGAGGCAATCTGAAATCAACCGGGTGGCAGTTGCAGGATGCACTGAGCAGAGAGGCATAGCAAAGCCTGGGGCCTCTCAGGGGAGGTGTGAGGGCTTGAGCAGTGGGGCAGAGGCCGGGATGACAGAGGAGAGGTTGATCACAGCCACAGGGCAGCTTGTGTCAAGCAGCGGCTCGGTGCCAAGGGAAGCGTGAAGTTCAAGTGGGATGTTAGACATGTCAAACGCAGCAGCAGGGGATGAGACCATGAAGATTGTGAGCCAGGCAGGCTGTGACCTTCATAAACAGCTCTGCAGAGTCTAGGTAAATGGGGAGAAGGGGAAGAGGGAAAAGAACGTCACAGAAGCCAGCCTTCACTTCCAAGAGGCGAGAAAAAAAGCAAAGGCAGTAAAAGGGGATTTAACAGAAGGGAGAAGCAGCATTCTGTAGGCTAAGGGGCAGGCATAGCAGGAGGCGGAAGAGGAAACGTAGAAAACGGGGTGAGAACACAAGAGAGGATCAATTACGGAGGAGAGAGAGGGTGTTTACTGGGGGGGGGGGCGCTCTGAAAGGAGGTCACTTTCACTAGACAGGAGCAAAGGAAAGAGGTGAAGATGCAGGGAGATCTGGACAGCAAGGAAGGATGCTGGGCCTGTGCAGCTGCAGGAAGACTACCCAGAGCAGAGGTGATAACAGAGCTGCATAATGGAGAGAGACACAGCAGCTGGATTTGTAGTTTACAAGCCCTAAACATGGAAGAAGGTGAAGCTGAGAATAAACCAATCCTTCCTACCTGCCTAGTTACACATTCTCAAGGCTAACGCACAGGCCATAGGCCAGACTGACCCTGCCCCACTCTGTGTCCACTGTCCCCCAGACGGCCCCTTGCGGCACTGCATGGTCTATGTACCTGTCTCCTCCTGTCTCCCCATGGTACTCATGGCGATAGCCCATAGCACAGCACCTAGAACAAATCAAGTGCTTCATATACGTTTGATTAGCTAATATTAAAAGCAGATTTTCCATCACTGGCCACATGCCAGGTGCGTGGTACGAAAAAGGAGACAGGAGCACAAAGGCCATCAGAAAGAAGCATCTTTAGGAACAAAAATCCACCAGACAAAATCTGCACTTTGAACGAAAAAGACTGGCTGTACTTGGCTGTAAACTGTGCCAATATGCTTAGTGATATGGGTGAGGGACACCGCAAGATGGTGGAGAGAAGGGGGTACCAAGAAGGACTGAAGAGCGCATAGGCCTGGGTAGGGCTGTTGTAAGGGGCAGGCGACAGAGACGGGGCTGTGTGTGAGAGGATGAGGCTGTGACAGGAGAACAAGAAGTGACAGCTTAAGGGGCAGACTGGAAAACGGTAACAAGAACAGAGCTGTTTTTAAAAGCACCACTTGGACTCACAGAAAGGGCAAGTGTTTGCAATCTGGAAGAGCAGTTGGGAGAAGACAGCTATAGTTCAGAAGCGGAACACTTTCATGCCTCACCTGCAGACTGGAGATGATACTTCTAACCTCCCTACTTCACAGCTGGTTATGCTATGAGATCATGTCTAGGAAGAACTCTCAACAGCTTGGAGAAGGATGATATAATACCACATATTATCAGGATCACCCTGCAGCTCTGGCGCCCATTAAAGAATGCACCAAGAGGAGCCGACCCTAACCCCAAATACTGAACCCAGCATGCACTGTTCAATCTGCTTCATCTGAACATGATCATTGACTCCTGTCTCTCTACAGAGAGTCACACAAATTATTAATTAGTACCTGCTAGGTGCTAAGTAAAGACCCTGGTAGCACAACTGTTAAGTGCTCGGCTGCTAACCGAAAAGTTGGCAGTTGGAACTCATCCAGCAGCTCTGCGAGAGAAAAGACCTGGTGATCTGCTCTCAAAAGATTACAGCCTAGGAAACCCTATGGGGCAGTTCTACTCCGTCACATGGGGTCACTATGCATCGGAATCGACTCAACGGCACACAACAACAACAAATGCCAAGTAAGTGACACCTCTAGGATTGACCACCTCAAAATTTTTACCTATTTATACTTTCTGTTTATGGGGTATCCACTACTTCAAGATTTGTACTTCTGCTATGATTCAAATCTAGGAACTTAAACAAGAAACATCAACATGAGGAGAACATAAGTAAAAACTCGTGTTCCCAGAGATGCCTCAAATCATAAAACCTAACAGCACGAATGAGCCAACTTGCTTATCAAATAAAAGCTTGGCAATAATCTGAGTCCACTGAGTCTTGCCCTTACTGTCTGTCCATCACCCTTATTTAGTAAATACTCAGTTTCCATATATTAACTCTCTCAAAAGTGTTACTAGACATATAAAAATAGCTATTACCTGAAGTTGAAGGAAGTTCAGAATCCATGTCTAAACCCTATCAGAAATACACAATAACCCTGTCGTCTCATCAGTTCTCACCACATGCTTGAGGACTGCTAACAAGCCTGAGCTGTGGGCTCCTTCGCAGCACAACCTCTTTCTCCTGCAGGGCTCCTGTGTTTTAAGTGACTTCCTCTAGTGCTCCAACTGACTCAAACCTCCCTCAGATGGCAAGTCCAGTAGCTGAGTGTTGCAGAGGAAGCGATTCCAAAGCACTGCCTGGAGGACAGGGAGAGATGGCAGGAGGGAGAATGGCCGCCACCGCCAGTGAACAGCCCCACTGTGCCCAGGTGCTGGAGAGGCAGGTCAGCTGTGCCTCCTGACATAGGTTAGAGATTATGTGGGGGGTAAGGGTGCTATTCAATAGAGTATTTCTAGGTGATTCACATGTGCCTGGGTTCTACCCTAAAGCAGTCACTCCTTGTGGATCATCCTTATGTTTCTTTCTAGAACTCTGCTCTCGGGAACAGGCCAGACTGTCTCACAAGGCTAACCTGGGCACACTCGGCTCCGTGTTGGCCTAATGTCCCCTTGCCCCTGTTTTTGGTCCTGCCGCCTCTGGACTGCCTCCCCCACCACATGCCCCTCTTGCCGTGCCTGTCACCTGGTGTTTGAATTCTCCTTACAGACTAGGGGCCCCTTGGGAATAGGATAACATCTTATTCATTTTGGTTTCCCCAGTACCTACAGTAATAAATGTTTTAAATCACACTAAAAAGAGGCTTATAGCATATTAGTAATACAGAAAAGGAAAACAAAATAAGAATTGAGGGAGCAAGAGTAAGTGTCAGAATGACCTAATGAAGCCTGCACTAAAGTCATGTGGCATATATGGGGACACAGCAGTGACACCCACACAAGTACATCGCTCAAGCATGCCATGAAAACAAAGAATGCATAACCTTTCAGTTTGTCACTACAACTTGACTTATAGTGCTGCTATTTCCCGCACTCCTTTTTGTCAATGAACACCCTTTCCTTGAACCCTCCATTTGAATACAGCAACTGCAGCAAATCTGCTCCCCAGAAATGCCCCCTCCAGAGTAGACTGGGTCTGGGGAGGAAATGGGCTCAGGAGGTCTGCCTGGCAGGCCACCCTCTCGCAGCCCCATCCCTCCTCCATCTGCAGACTTCAAGGGGAGATGAGCAAGGGGATAGGACAGGCTCTGGGTGGGTGCAAGAGTCCTTAGCCACGATGCAGCTGCCATGGGGCCCAAGTGAGAAGGGGAAAGGAA